GAGAAGGTTTTGGGGTGACCTGACTGTGGCCTTCCAGTGCCTGAGGGAGCTGTAGGAAAGATGGAGAGAGACTTTTCACAAGGGCCTGGAGTGACAGGACAAGGGGGAATGGCTTCCCACTGCCAGAGGGCAGGGTTAGGTGGGATATTGGGAAGAAATTCCTCCCTGTGAGGGTGGGGAGGCCCTGGCACAGGTTGCCTAGAGAAGCTGTGGCTGCCCCATCCCTGGAAGTGTCCAAGGCCAGGTTGGAGCAACCTGGGCTAGTGGAAGGTGCCCCTGTCCATGGCAGGGGGTGAGAGCTGGATGGGCTTTAAGGTCACTCCCAACCCAAACCATTCTGGGATTCTTTCCCAAATCTGTGAAACCATAGTTTGATGACTAACAAACCAATTGGGTCTGAAAGTCACTGCAGAAAGTAACAGCATTGTCTTTGTCTCACAATTTATTGACTCTGTGGCTGAGCTGCAAACTGAAAAGAGGATTTGGGTTTTTTTTATTATTCCTTTTTTTGTTTGTTTTTTGTTTTTTTTATTTTGTGCTTGCAGATTTATATTTCAGCCAAATTAGGAGCTGTACCTTGGTTACAGGTCATGCAGGAAGCAGCAGAATTGCCTCTTCTCCTGCTGCCTTTTTCTCACTGCTGTGCTCTCAGGTCAGGGGAAGTGACCTGCAGTTTCACCTGACTTGCCTTTAACTGAAAGCAATTAGGAAGTGTTCACATAATGAACATTTTCAGGGGGTAGGTAGGGATGGGGATTTAGGGATTCTTGTCAGGGAAGTGGTGATCAGTGTTTGTGTGAGCCCTTCCACTGACCCAGTGAGGAACTGAGAGGGGAGACCTGCAGATCCTCTGCCTTTTATATGCCTGTCTCAAATAATTTTATAAATGTGGCGTAGTAGTATAACTACTGCAATTATTGCTAAATAAATAAATACTGTTTTTTTCTTTTTTATCTTTTAGGACCATAGTTCCAGGAAGCCTGGATGAAAAACATGGAATCTGTTTCATGTGCTGCCAGAGTGTTGTTTGCTTGTTTTCCTCAAAGGTAAGATAGCTGTCAAAGAGCAAAAAATGTGTTTGTCAAATGAATGTGGTCATGAGGATGAAGTTCAGTGTGGATATAGTTGAAAATTCGAGCTAATTCATCAATGGAAAAATCAGGATTTGGGATCATAATCCTGGCACAGTTTAGGCTTTTCACATTAGACCAGCAGTTCTTGTTTTGTCACGGTTTAAATATGAGCTCGTGTCTGTGAACAGCTTTATTTTTTTAATTACTGTAGCTGGGCATGGTTAGTGAGGAAAGAAAGGTTCTAAGAAAACAATAAAAACCTGCTGAATTTCCCTGCAATGTGCTTATTTTGAAGTGGGAAGGAAGCGAACTGACATGGATAACATATGAACCTACTGCATCTCCTTGATGTGGATATTAAAGGAACCTTGAAAATGGTTTATGGGGAAGTTGTTGGAGGCTTCTAATTTTAAATTCTTAACAGGAAATCATTAAACTGTAGAGGAGCCAACATAACAGACTGTTGCTCTAAAACAAGAGCTAAATGCAGAGCATCCACATGAACTTGTCAGATCTTTTTTTAATGATTTTTTTTTTTTTTTTGCCCTTCCTTTCATGTTTGCTGCAACCCAGATAAATACATTTTCATTTTTTGTTTTTCATATGCAGCAGTTCAGGGGTCCCACTGTGGATGAGATGTGAGAGCCAATGCCCTCATGGTCAGACCTCAGGGAATGTGGAGCTTTTCCATCAGCCCCAGAGGTGTTGACTCCTTGTGTGGCCACCCAGAACTTGTAGAATTAGGAGGAATTTCAATGGCCCTTTCTTGGTTCCTTTTACTGTCTGATGCAGTGAGAAATGCAACTAATTTAATTTAAAGTTTAAGCCTATTTGACAATTTATTTATTTTTTTTTAAAACTCCAGTTAAAAGAAAAACTGAACTTTTCATCCACAAAAGAAGTCGTGGCCTTTAATTTTGAGAAATTATTTGAATTAATTGAACAACAGTAAGAAAGAATAATGCTTGTACAGCCACTCAGAGATGGATTTATTTCAGTGACTGTTAGCCAAAATGAGAAATAAGCTGTCATTAAGGTCAAGTAAATATCTGATTGTGTTTGAGTTAGAAACATTTTGTGTTAAATGATTTTTTTACTCACATAAAAGATGCTTTTAACTGTGAGCTGTTTAACCTGAGCTGGGTATTAGAAATAAATAGCTGAGGGGCCATGGGCAGTTTCTGCTTAGCATTTGCTTCCTTTAGGTCCAAACCCAAGGGAAGCACTCCCCAATTTTATATATCCAAGTGAGAGGTGCATAAAAAATGCTCAGTTGCCCTTCAGCTGTTGCCTGTGACTCAGGCCCTGGAGAGAAACTTCTTTAAATAAATCTTCTTCTTTATTAAAAGTTTTTTCTCCCTGCATCAAACTTCATCTTTATTAGAAGATGTTTTTTCCTCCCTGCATCTTCAAACTTTTATGTGTTCCTATTTCTGTGAGGGTCTGGTTTAGCTGAAAGGGTTTGTTTTATTTTTTTTTTTGAAGGACTTCAGAGGAAAATGAGGAAATATGGTTTGAGTTGCCAGAGGATCTGCTGGGTTTTGTGTGCCCTGTAAATCTTGAAGCACTTTGGTTTTCCAGCAGTGGTTTGGGGAATGCAGTTGTTGCAGGCAGAAACATCTTTAATGTATTGTAATTTGATTAAATGTGTGAGTGTAGGTATGATTTATATGTGCTGCCATTGCCTTGATTGTAGAAGTACTGACAGAAACGAGGCACTTTTTCACTTGAAAAGGCAAAAGCAAAACTTGGATATAAAAAGACAGAAATACCTTGGGGTGTGAAGAGGAGTTTCTTCCCTCATAACTACTTTTTCCCCTTTGTTTCCTTAAATTTTACAAATGCCAGACTCCCTAGGGGGTGTTGACACCAGGCATAGGGGTAGGAGTCCATCTGGGTGGTTCTGTTCCTGGAGGAGCTTGTGATTTTCCACCCTAAATTGTTTGGGAAAGCATCACCTATATTGAGTGGGACATGACAACACCCCTGCCCACATTTATCCAGCTGTGAAATAGGAATATTGTACTTTTTGGAAGTGATGGGCTTTAATTGTCCCTGTGAGGACACAGATGTGACAATCTTATTTTTTTGGTCAGTGGTTTTAAGTTGGTTTCCTCATTTCCTGGCTACTTTGTGCTAAAAAGTCATTGTAAAATATTTATCCCCCCCCCTATTTTGTGTGTGCTGTGATGTGGATGGCAGTGGATCTGCTGCAGGCCTGGCAATTAATGTGCCATGCCCATGTTTTATGTATTAATTAAAAGAGGAATAGTGATACCTCGAGGTGTTTGGGATTGTATAGAGCTCAAATTCATCTTTATCTCCTTTACACGCCGTTGAAGTGCCCAACAGACCTGTCTAAAATACTGTTATGAAACTTAATGGTCAGATTTTTAAAGCAATTCTATCTTGGGCTGCTGAGCTGGTGATTGATCTGCTGGTATAAACACCTGGAAAGTAGGAAGGGCTCGTTATCTTATTGGATTAGTGGGGATTAATTCATTAATGGTTGTAACAGGTTTGCAAATCCCTCGGAGCTCCCGGGATCCAAAGCTTCGTTGATATATTTCTTATTTATTTATTTTTTTTGTTAAATACCGTTGACTTTAATGTGGTTGAGGGAAGGAAATCCAAAGGCCTGGCAGTCCTTAAGCTGAACAATTATCTCTGTGGAAATATTTTTGCAGAATTCCACGGTGGTTTTCGCTGGGGTGGGAAGGGGCTCTGGGAGCTGCAAGTAAAACAATGTCTAGAATTTCAGCTCTAAAACCCAAATGCACAAACCCCTCCTGTCTTAAAGAGTCAGGAGTGGGAACCCTGCACGTCCTGTGGGATGTGTAATTCCAGAGGGATCACTGTCCAAGCGGGAGAGCAGGGATTTCAGCCAGGAGCAGGGAAAGATGGCAGGGGGAGGCTGGAATGATGCTGGAGTTTCTGGCTCAGGGAAAGATGAGGGGGATGAGTAACAGGGGATCCTGGAGCAGGGAAAGATGGAGGGGCTGGGATAATGCTGGAGTTCCTGGAGCAGGGAGAGATGGGGGGCTGAGTAACATTCAGGGATTCCTAGAGCAAGGAAGGATAACGTGCTGGGCTTGCTGGAGCAGGGAAAGACGTGGGGCTTGAGTTAACACCCAGGGGATCCTGGAGCAGGGAAAGATGGAGGGGCTGGGATAACGCTGGAGTTCCTGGAGCAGGGGCTGAGTAACACCCCGGTGGTCCTGGAGCAGGGAAGGATGTGGGGCTGAGTAACGTTCAGGGATTCCTGGAGCAGGGAAGGATAACGTGCTGGGCTCGCTGGAGCAGGGAAAGACGTGGGGCTTGAGTAACACCCAGGGGATCCCAGAGCAGGGAAAGATGGGATTGGGGAATCTCCAGCATTCCAGGAGCAGGGAAGGGGAAGAGCGGGAGCTGAGTAACAGGAGATCCTATAGCAGGGCAAGATTGGGGCCGGAGTAACACTGGAGCAACGGGGGGAGTCCTGCGCTTAGCCCCAGTAGCTGCCATCCTACTGGCACCTGGGGGAGTGTGTGCTCGGAGCCCTCCTGTCGCGGGTGTCCCCTCCTGTCGCGGGTTCCCTCCCCTCCTGTCGCGGGGGTCCCCCCTCCTGTCGCGGGTTCCCTCCCCTCCTGTCGCGGGGGTCCCCCC